CCGCCGGTAGTGTACTCACATATGATGCACCATACACCATATGCGGCAACATCCCGACCGCTTATAGGCTGCCGTTTGCTTTACCTCCTGAGGCGGGATGGGACCGGGGGAGTGGTGATGAGAGGATAGGAGCTCGACGGCGCCAGCGTTATTCGGTGTCTTGTCTTAATGACATGTACAAGTCCTGCTGGTGGCGCCTCCCGGCAGGCAAGCGGGCAGTGGCGCAAGCGCAGCAGCACCTGGTCAGAGAGAGAGAGAGAGAGAGAGAGGGGGGGGGGGCAGAGACAGAGAGAAAAAGAGAGAGAAAGAGAGACTGGACGAACTAATGGCAGTGCGCAGTGGACGCGGCGCTGCGCCGAGCCTGGTCCGCGGGTCAAGCACATGACTCGGCCGGACCGGACAGGGCCCGAGCCCACAGCACGGCACGGCTCTGTAGACGAGGCGTTGCCAAAGACACACCCGAAATTAAATCGGTCCCATCTGGCTCTGCCCTTGATGGCCCAGCCGGCCCAGCCGGCTCAGCCGCGGGTCAGGTCAGGCATTGTGGCAGCTAATGTGGGCCGGAAACATGGCTGCTGACCTGCCCCCTATGACGAGACGGGCCCCGGTCCTTGGAGGAGAAGGAGGGGTCAGCTGTTTGGTTGAAATATCGACCAAAGATTTTAATAAGGTCTAATCGATCCACGATGTTGCGGCCAATGGAAGCCGTGATACCGCACCACTAGCATCCCCTCTTCTATAGGGGCGGGGGTCAAAATATGGCTTTGTGCGTGTGCAAAGACTTTTCACCAATCACACGAGTAACTAGTTTGAAAGCGTTATTGTTGCGATTAATTTTCCATACTAGTCGCCAGTCTGTCACCTCATAAACAGGAAACCTGAACCCGACGGAACTGCCAGTACATCTGGTGGCTGATTCACGCCTCGCACTTGTGACCAAACTGTACCGTTTGCACACGTGCGTGTGGGTTGCCTACTAGCACGGCGCCGTTAAGGAGCCGTGGACAGCGGGGATAGGCAAACCCGCTCGCTCCCACCCGTGCTTTCGGTACGGGGTACGGTATAAACACGATAGTGCGCGGCGTGAGTCAGCCACCTGGAACAGTTACCCGGTTACCCGTCAACTCAAACTCAATTCATTTTAGAGTGCATTCATTAGAATAGTGACACAGCAGTAATTCGACTCCATCGCATGCACCCTAAACGCCAAAGTCGGCTTGCTTGCCAAAATGTTGGCATTCCTGACGGACTGCCGAATTGTTGTCAGGTCCAGGCGTTTAGAGTGCATGTTCAGTGCAGTCGTGAGCTGATCACAATCGTTTTGGCTGTATTTTTTTCCGAATTGAGCGCGAAAACCTGTGTTACAAATTGAGTTTGCTTAAAATTCTAAATTGCACAGGCTATACTGGCCCTCCTATTTACTTGCTTCACTGAGAGTCTGCTTTGTTTGAACAGCCAAGCAGAGGCATCAGACTGATTTGGCGCGCGAAAATGATCAATTTCGCAGGCAGTAGTGACTCCATGATCGTGTCTTGTGATTTGGAAGGCGAAGGCGTCGAGAAGGACGGCCGAGCAGTGGGGAGCAGGGAGACGGGAGGGGAGAGAGAGATAGACGGAGAGACAGAGACAGAGAGGAGAGATGAGACTCGGTATTACCTTGGCACGCTGCGCCGCGCCCCGGCCCAAATGTATCGGTAGACATGACGGCGAGATTGGTGTATAGGTGTAGGTGTGGGCACAGTCACGATTCGTGTGCCCATCCGCCCCGGGGCGAGGCGCCTCTCTCTGTCTCTGTCGCTCCCGCAGCAATGCGCCATCTCAGTCTCCCTTCCATCCCCACCTCTCCCCCCTCTATCTGTCAGCTTCAAAAGAGTGAGTAAACTTGTGCGAATCAAGGATTATTCCTTTTTCTTATTCTTTTTTTTTAAGACTGTCTCGTGATGGAAGCGATGGGAGATGGAACAGCGCATGATGTTCGCCCGGATCGAATGCGCCGCCGCCGCCGCCGCTCGCGACCTTGGCGGGCCCGCCCCCCGCGCCCCTGTAGAGGGTCGGGCGCCCACCCCGCGGCGGCAAGGGGCGGAGCGAATGGGACTTCATCGCTGCTGTGCCCCTGCTTTGCACATCGGGCGCATAATTTTGTAGCAACAGCGCGTCGTTGCTTGTTCTGTCTCTGTCACTCCCACCTGATGCCGCGGTCGCGCTGCGCTGCTGCTGCTGCGCCCGCCGGACGGCACACGCCCTCTATCTCTATCTCTCTCTCCCACATGCGGTCCACGCACCTCGCACCGCCTCCTCGCACCTCCTCCCCCTCCCGGCCCGACACGCGTTTGTTTTTTGCACTTGGCCCCGTTTTCGGAGCGTTCCCCCCAAATAATGAAGGCACGTTGGTGCAGCAGCGGGGCGGGCAGCAGGGTCTGTGTTGGTGGGCGGCGGGGCGGGGCGGGGCGGGGTCACCTTGTTGTTTTTACAACGTTGCGTAGAGCGGCGCGGCTTAGCCGGGGCTGTATGAGAAATAATGCAGTGTGGGTATGAGAACGGTGATAGTCGCTGTCTCACGCCCGCCACGCCCCGCCACGCCCCGCCTCGCCCCGCCACGCCCCGCACACACCGTGTTCACACAAAGTGCACGGTGTGACCGTGGTCGGCTTGCGTCCCCCCTTGCGCAGGTCGGGCTGAGCTGAGCCGTCGCGGGCTGCATATGCGTGCGCGTGCGTGTACGTGCGTGTTGCCCTTCTCATATCCCCGTGCGCGCGCAGTGGACGATCTCCTTCGGTGGCCCAGCCGGGGGGACCAAGCAGCCGGGCCTGGGAGTTTCACGGGCGCTAATACGCCCGCGGGGGCCCAGCCGCGTCATGGGGCGACCCAACAGATGATATCGCACGGCTTAAAGGGCAGAACGCGGCGAATAGAACCTCCTCCTCCGTCGCGGCGAATGGAAACTCGTTTATTCCTTTTCGATTGTGGGGTGGGCCGCGCCGAGGTTACCGGGTCACGCCTCGGAGAGGTTATTTTGCACTAACCCAGGAAGAGGAGGGCGGCGGCGGCGTGCGGGACCGGGCGCCCCCAAATCTGCATCGTGCGATGATGAATGAGCGGGCCTGGGTCGGCGGGGCCACCTCCAGCCAGCTCCCCTCCCCCCTCCTCTCCACCATTCCACCTCCAACCTTACCAAGGCGCCCGCCGCCGCCCCTGGTAGGCAGCCCATCGAGCACTACGGCAGAAGATATGCAAAGTCTTGCTTTTGTGCTCTTGCTAGGGCGAACCACCTCGCAGGTTCGGGGGCAGTTTTGGCGGGTACACCGCCGGAGTGTTCCGAACACTCTCTCGAAAATGCTCACTTTCTGCTTTCGTTGCCATTCGCGTCAGTGTTGTGCGAGTGGATTATTCGTCAGAACCTTAAAAGACCCATCTGTGCCGCACGACACCCGGCGGCGGCCTGGCGTGGGTGCGAAAGTGAACGTGGATACAGATATGGCGGTGTCCGTGAAGTATCCCCCCTGTGCGTGTCTCTACTAATGTTCGCGTCTCTGTGGCATAGCCCCTGCGAGGCATGTCTGCGCGATTCCCATGCGGCGGGTGGGCGGCCGGACTCTCGACCTCCGTGCCTCATGTAGCGAGTCAATGAATAATTCAAAAATTTTAAACGATGTGTGTGCAGGCGCGTGTGTGCATCTTTGTGTGCGTGTGGGCATGTGTGAGTGTGTGTGTGTGTGTGTGTGTGAGTGTGGGAGAGAGAGATATTGTTGGTGGTGTATGATGCATGTGAGAGTCTTGAGCCCACTGCGCCGCCCCACTAGGTAGGCAGCCCCTCTGGCGAGGGGAGGCCGCCTACGCCTCGTGGATAGGCCACCCAACGTACTCGTCGTCTGCTGCAGGAGCGGTGGGGGGCGGCGGCGCGGGAACCCATCACGTGTGGGATCCACACTCTCTGTATTCACGAGTGAGAAAGTGGATTGGTTTGTTTCGTTCTGTCTGCTCCCTGCTTCTTGCACGCATACCCCTTGGATTTTAAACTACTAAAAGTAGAATCGTGTCGGGCGTGCATGTGTACTCCGGTATGGTATCGCGTGATTCTTGGCGTAACCTCAGAAGCGAATTTCATTATTTGAACGCGTAATCGGCGTAGCTGCGAGCGCAGAGAGATGCAACAGCATGTGAATAACAGTTTTCTCCTGAAACGGCGTTCTCCTTTTCCAATACATAACGTCGTACGGTGCCGTATGCTCTGCTGCACCACTAAACAAACTAACAAATATTCATCCGCTCTACTCTTTCAACTGTGCGAAAAGTGTGGTCCAGGATGTACTAGTCTGCATGCAGGCAGGTGGTTGGGCTGTCTGCACCCGGAGTTCAAATGCACCCATGTTAGAAACGACTCAAACGACGAAGCCGCCCATATGTGGGCTTCTACCGACACCCCTTCTTTCCCATCGGGCTGGCCAAGATTTACTTTGCAGGATGCGTGTCGTTAGATTTCAAACAGTTTAGAACGGGCCTATGCATCTAGCACCTTGGTACCACATATACCAAAGTTTATAACGACCGTTGAGTCATTATCATTGAATTAAAATAGTACCAATGCAATACGTCCTTACACTAACCTAAACAACGACACCGGGGCGGTTTAGAGGATTGAATAAACTTACTTTTCCGAAGCCAAACTTTGCAGAAACACTTTTTGACACATGATTGTTATGCCGTGCCAGTCTGGTATGGACCCAATATTTCTTCACAAATTCTACAAAACTTGAATTATGATCACACATCCACTTGCGACAAAACACAAAACACAGTATAGCCGCCGGCGTTCTGCTTTGTTTAGGGACGGCGCAAGGCTACGCCACGCCACCTCCCCAGTGCTACCTTCTTTTCGTTCCTCTTATCGAGCAACTTCCTCATAGGACTGGCAAGCTGATCTATGCCGGAGTCTTGATTTGAAACTTGTTCACGCGATTGTGTATGGCTGGGTCGTATGAGGGAAGGACGGCAAAGTCAGGTTGGAAGGTCGGGGCAATACTTGGTTTATTTGGCTCGTGTTGGTTGTAGTGCGAGGGGCGCACCGAATTAAATAGATTTGGAATAAATACAGATGGGCTTTTTTAGGACCCGGCTGGTAACTCGTTGGCTGGGTGCTGCCGGTGCTGGCGGCGCTGGTGGTCCTATCAGGGGCCGCTCAGTACTGGTAGCCGCCGTTGCCGCCGCCGCCGCCACCACCTCCGGGCCTGTTACCGCCGCCGCCGGGGGCGGGGGGTCCGTAGCCACCGCCGGGGCGTCCGCCGCCGCCGCCGCCCTGGGGTCCGGGGCCAGGGGGGCCGGGGATGGCCTCGCCCTCGTACTTGACGTCCGCGACGAAGCCGTTGGCGTCGTCCGCCGTGTACTTGACCATCTGCAAGAAGCAAGAGCGAGGTGTGACTGTCGTGTCCAGGAGCACGGGCGCTGTGTCGAGAGCGCTGGGTACGCGTCGGCTTACCTGTCTCCTGCCGTCCGGCAGCAGCACCTGGTACTCGCCGGTCACCGTGCTGCCGTCGCTGCTCTCCTTGCGGCTGAAGTCCGTGCCAGTCGAGTCGTCCTTCACCTCGTACTCGAAGCTGTACGGCTCGGGCTGCAGCAGAGAGAGAGCGTCACGCACCGTCCCACCGTCCCACCGCGCCACGCCACGCCACGCCGCCGCCGTCACCGCTTACCTCAGCGCTCTCGCCGCCGCCGCCGCCCCCCGGAGGTCCGTAGCCGCCGGATGGCTTGTTGGCGCCGCCACCGCTCGGGGGCCGCGGGCCCGGGCCGCCCGTCGGCGGGCCGTAGGAGGCGGTGGGTGGCTTGGGCCCGCCGCCGGGGGCGGGCGGCAGGTACGAGTTGGCCGGGCCGCCGGCCGGCGGGTACTGCGCCAGCACCACGCCCACCAACGCCGGCGCCAGCGCCAGCGCTACTAGCGCCTGTGGACAGACAAACAGCATGGCTACAGCTAACTCTGGATGCAAGGGGTAAAAGCAACACAGCAGCCCGTCGTTGGCGGAGCGTCCTCTCGCCGCCGCGCCGCTCGCCAACTGTCGCCCGCCGTCTTGTACCGGCCCTTCCACCCGCGCTCCGAGGCCATACTCGACCTTGGGTTTATTTGCGGCTCGCAGGGCCGATCTGACCTTTCGGTTATTGGAGCGCTCGAAGCGCATCGCCGCCGCCGCCGCGGTGCGACCATAGCCCCCCGCGGGGCCCAGCGAGTCATCCGCACAGTGGCCAGGAGCCCCAGCGGGAGCCAATACTGCTCGGCCGCCCAGACCATAAAGGATCGTCGACAGAAAGTACGATCCGTTTTCTCACATCCGTTCAGCAACTGGGAGTTGGGCGCCTGCGAGACTCGTGATAGGCCACCCTGCAGTACACGCATGCACTGCTGGTAAGATGTTGCCTACCCACCAGGCGCTATGGGCGCTATGGAAGCATCGGCTGAACTTGGCAGAGGATCGTCAACGGCGAATGACGGACGTACTTTCTAGATGATGAAGATTTGGATCCGCGTCGTTTGGTCGCGTACACCCTCCACCTCACACTCAGGGCTCTCAGCCTCACCCCCGCCACTCCCCGACCTGTCGCAGCGAAACAGTTTATCAGATGTTCTGTGCATCTTCATCTTTATCCATCGACAATCGAGCGAGCATTCCCAGCGGCTCCCCTCCGGTCCAGCAGCGGCATTGGCGAGGGAGGACACCACCGACGACGCACCGCTCCAACGTCCAGCCTTGTAGCACTTTATGTGGCCGGCGGTGAAGGGGATCCGAGGGGGACCCACTGGGATCCCAGGGGATCGGAGGGGATCTGGGGGGGCTCGAAGGGGACAGGGTAAAAGCGTCACGACGGGCGACGGCCAGTCGCAGCAGCTAAGAGGACAGCCAAGGTAGCGATTCGTTATGGGAATTAATTGGCCAGTAATACGCAAACTGCAGATGCAGTGGTGACCAGTAGGGGCTCAACCCCCCTGTAGAGTGTAAACCAGATTGCCAAAATTGCTTGATTACCTGACGAATACTTTGCTTTGGGGCATAAAACGCCTGCAACTAGGCAAAGCGCACTACACCTGAGTGTATGCAAAAACCCGATTGCCTGGAGATGGAGATTGCCGAAGATTATCGTAGATTGCCAGGGTGGGTGTACACCACACCAGATTGCCGGAGTTTTGGCCCTTTTGACTATGATAGAAAAAGAAAATCCTCCCTAAAGAGTTGCAGCTGATACAGTGACCTGGGTCTCCGAGCGTAGGAGCGTCTCCCGCGGGTGACAGTTCACACCACCGCAATGCCACTACTAGACTATGCTCCTCGATCATCCCGTGAAGCCGTCTGCCGAGCCGCGACGCGTCACTCGGGGCGCGTCACCCTGCACGTCACTCTACGCGTCGTTGTCACTCTCGCACCTCCTACCACCTTCCCTACATGGGCGGGCGGTCGCGCCTGCAGCACCGCAGTCGCACGGTCGTGTGCGCGCCCAGGGACTACCCTGGCTGGCGGAGGGAGACGCACCCGCCCCGCTACGGCGGGAAACGCTCGCGACTCTGACCCGCACAACATAATATGTCATAATCGGTGTTATTTGCCCCCTCTCCCCACGCCACCCGCCCCCTGCCCCAGTCCCTCTTGAGATATAATTGCACTCGCTTATGCTGACATTCGAAGCCCGCCGTGGGTGCGCCGCCACCCGTCCTTGGGGACATCTCTCTGTCTCTCCAGCTCGACAAGCTGCTCTGCCATACTACGACTGCAATGAGCGGCGCCCCCGTGGGATACTAAATGGAATACGAGCAAACGAGCGAAGCAAAATAAGGATTGAGATTTTTTTTCTGCCCCTTCCCTCTAAGCCCTGCACGGCTGCTGCTGCCGACACCCGCGCCGGCGCCGCCGTCACCACCTCCTCCGAGCGGCGCGGCATTCTTGTCCGAAGAAGGTCCGCACGTGGTCCCCGCAGAGGAATGCACCGCCGAGCACGACGGGGGGAGCTGCAGGAGGTGGCGCTGCGGGGCAGGGTGGGACGCGGCGGGGCGGGGCGGGGCGTGGTGGGGCAGCCGGCGGCGTCCCTCCCCTCGCACCGGCGGCCCCTCTCGCGGGCGCCCTTGGTGCGCCCCGCGTTCAAGTCCCCCATCGTGCAGTGGTGGAGACGCTCGCTCGTGGGCGGGGCGGGGCAGGAGGGAGAGAAGGCGCCTGGCGGGGACGACTGCTCGCGGGGACGGGATTAGGGAAGGGTGCGGCTCCCAAGCCCAGACGGCGAGGCGACACTATCACGTTGTTCCAATCGACTGCTGACGACACGAGAGTCGTGGACGCCGACGTGAACTCGCGGAGCGCACGGCGGCGGCGCGGCGGTGGTGCAGGCCAGGCGGTGCAGCGAGCAGCAGAGAGGCGCCACCGTAAGGTAGTTGCATCCCCGCTGTGTTGCGCCACGCGTGCCATGTCGTCTGCTGGGGGCGGAGCTCGGTTATTGGAGGCGGACAAGGCGTGCGCGATCAGGACGGCGGGAGAGATGGCTATCGCCGTGGCTAGTCCGCGCGCGCGCGCTCCCTGCGGTCACACCGCCGGGGCAGGAAGCTCCCCGGTGAAAGGGAGAGGGGAAGGGGGCGTTGGCTGTAATCGTTAAACCCTTGTATCAGTGCGTGTGCGACAACGGCTAAAGGCTCACACAAACACATCGTGGGGTGGTCGTTATCACGCCCACCATACACTAAATGGGAAAGGACAATCATTTTGGTATCCGGTGAACATGTGTTCTTAAGCAATTGGATGCAAATGTGAATCTGAACAGTTGCACCTAGCACAAGTACAAGACTGTCATTCATTCTGCAGAAGTGTCTTCCTTGAATGCACAGGCGAGTACTCCGGGCAACTTTTGTCAAACAATAACTAATACACGCGGATCGGATAATCTCAATTGGTGCTTCATGACACTCTCGTCACGGCTGCGCCTTTCTGCACACTTGTGGTCACCACCAGGGACCAGGACCAGGGAAGGCACGGGCCGCGACGTCAGAGAAGGGGCGCCTCTGCTGATGCACTGGCAGACAAGGCAGTGACCTTCCAGGAGGCATCATCAGTTAGTCGCTGGTGTGTGTCGTGTCGTCGCCGAGCGCGCTCTTGTCGCCGGCCCCGCGCCACCCACTCGCTGCCAGGCGACACGTGTTTTACAAGATATGACAGCCGCACAATGTGCTTGAAACAGTCGCAGCCAAAACTGTGTATGGAAGGCCTCGAACTGTTCGCCCCGCGGGCCAGCGGCTAGAATACCCACACGGAATAGCGCGCCAAATTTTGAATGGTGCCTCCTGCAGCGCGTCGCGTCGCGTCGCGTCGCGTCGCGTCGCGTCGCTCGTGACCTGCGCGATAGCACTCGGGTGCACTGCTCTGTCCTCTAACGAGTCCGGGCCGTGAGGCGGCGGCTTCTTATAACCCCGCTGACCCTAATGGGTGTTTAGGCCCTTCACGCCCCTCCACGCCGCGCCACGCCGCGCCACGCCGCGCCACGCCGCGCCACGCCGCGCCACGCCTCGCCCGGCTTGCACAACGCGCGCCATGCAGGCGACAAAGGCCGGTGGGCGGGGATCGCACCGACGACTGTGCAGTCCAGTGAATCACCAGCACCAGCGAGCCAAACGCCGAGCTGGCGAAGACCCCCCTTGTCCGCCTCTCCAAAGCTGTTGCTTACTGTGGATTCAATATCGAAGACCAGACTGACCGGAGCCCCATGTTAAAATTAATTCTGTCGTAATTTTACAACATTTTTATCGTCTGGTCTGTCAGCAACATTGATACTTCATAGAATATAAATATCGTTTCCTATCGTTTCATTGCGACTAATGAAGTTCGGTCAGTATCGCCCTTTAAAAGGCTTCTGTTTTTGTTTTTCGGGGCCAAGCAAGAGAATATTTTACAAATTGTTTCTGGCTGACGGTGATGGATGTTTTAGTGCCCTCGCAAATACTACCACCGACGAAGCAGAAGGATCTCAGAACTTTTACATGTGGAAAGAAATCTTGCACCCATGCTTGTACATATAACTGTTTTTACTCTATTCGTTTTTGAGACACGAAAACCCCTCAAATATGTGAATAAGTGCATGCCCTGCCCCGGTGTAAGGTACGCCGGACGCAGGGCGACCGGCGATCCTTGAGTCTTTGAATATCCCGCCGTGTCAGGCCAGACGCAAGGGCCAGCGCGTTGGAGCAAAACTGCATAGTTCAGCAGAATAGGGATGGACACACGGCGCAGCCGTGTGGAGCGGAGTTAGTTACGTATCAGCTGCCGAGACTGTCGGACGAGGCGGGCAACCCGTATCTCCAGTAGAGTGTTTGTGAACCCACTGTCTTAAGACTGTTAACACCGCAAAGCTCAACTGTAAACTACTGTGAACTGTGAACCACCGATTGCAACTGAAATACAAGTGCTCTGGACATCATCAAATCATTTGTTCGTCTTTCGAATCGACTGTTCATATTGAACGTTACATGGTGCATCGGCTGCGCCGTGTGTCCATCCCTATTCTGCTGAACTATGCAGTTTTGCTCCAACGCGCTGGCCCTTGCGTCTGGCCTGACACGGCGGGATATTCAAAGACTCAAGGATCGCCGGTCGCCCTGCGTCCGGCGTACCTTACCGGCACAGTCACCGCCACCGCGTACAATAAGGAGGACTTCCTGAGTATCAGCATTTTGTAGCACTTCTTATAACACGCAGTAGACAAGTTTATAAACCTCTTTTGGTTGAAGACTGCTTATTGCTCTCAAAGCAAAATCTTCGTCCAGTTTTCGTAACCCATTGTGTTATTTTACAGGAAAATCATCCATGAAATCCAGAGTAAGAATAGTGAAATAAAATCGTATTATTATGAAAAAAAACTGCAAGATGAGATATTGCATTACCTTATTGATGATCAAAATTTGTGTGTCGTGAATTACGACATTGTTTATGAATTATATACATTGTAAATAATGGAAATTATTTTAAATTTACAAAGTTTTTGTTGTTTTTCTTTGATGACTATTACTTGCCCGCTATCAGTAATCACCGCTGCCACGATCACAGAGACACCAAATGCAAATGCACAAAACTCGACTTTTTCCGATAGCACTGCTGCACATTGACACTCGCACACAACTGTCACCATACAAACACCAACTGCAGAGGTAAATCCACGGGGATGCACTCGGCGAACACACCACCACCCTACCTGGAAACGATCCATGAGTATCCTGAAGGCACACCACAGACAGACACACTCCCTGCGCCCGGCCCTTACCTCTATTTATACACACTAGGGTCTCCTCCTGCAGGCCGTGCCGGGGCTGTGCCCCCTCCCGAGCAGCCCCGCGGCGCCCACGGGACCCGCGGGACCTCCCCCCGGCCTCTGCGCCTCCCCCTACCTCCTGGCGTCCCGAGCACGGCGAGGGCCTTCCTCTCCATCTCCTTGCTCTCTGTCTCCCTCTCTTGCATCCCTCACCGCCTCCCTCTTTCTCTCCTTCCCTCCCTCAACCCTCCCCCCTCTATCTCTACCTCTCCCTCCTCTCTCTCTCCCCGCCCCCTCTCTGCCGTTCGATGAACAGCGGCAGCAGATCAAACTGTCACCCGCCGTTCAGTGTGCATTCCATGTCGCGCAGTGCGCAGCAGGGTCGCATGTATACCATACCACCAATCGCCTCCCCCTGAATTTTAATAATAATTCATGTCGCTTTAACGGGTCCGAGTGCTTTAACATTGACCATACCTCACCTGATGGGTTTTCGAACGCCTAAAAAGAAATACCCCGTACTGGACGTGTTAAGATTTATTTACGATCTTTTGAGCGCCCCTTGAGGTGCCGTATAAAAAAGAGGTAATCGCACCCTGACAACAAAGTAACCACTTGTTGCCTCATCCTTTGTATTTCATAGCGGCTATCGGAAGCGATTGGGGAGCGCCGGCCGATGGCCGTCACCGCCGTCACCGCGGTGACTGGCGAGGGGGTCAGGGGAGTGTAGCCGGCGACCGTTGGGATGCCATCTGACCCTTTCGGAATATCGACGGGCAATTCATATCGTGAGTGATTTGACTGGCCGCTCGCCGTGGTCGCTGTGCTGTGCTGTGCTGTGGTGTAACCGGGCTCTCGGAGGGGCTCTCCCGCGCTCCTCGCCGTGACTGTGACTCCCTCTCTCTCCTCCACGTTCCGTTCCTCTTTCGTGTGTTTTGCTCTCCTTTTCCACGTGTGTGGAGAGTTGATTAATTATACTACTACAGTTACGTTACTGATCTTTAAAACGTTTCACTGTGGTGCGACCAAACCAGGAACATTTACCTGTTATTCCTCTTCATCTGTTAGCAGAAGTGACTCTTTACCGGCTCACTTTAATTTCGAGTTTTCAAATAGGTCATACAAATTTGAAAATAACCGAAGACGTAAGTTAGTAGGAATCTTTCAAAGGTGATGAAATTTTTCTGCCTTTAAAGCACTAGAATTCGCTCGGTCTTTGGGTCATTCTTTGAGCTTGCTATATTTCATTGATAATAAATTTAAATATTACTTTACCACCCCTTCAGTTTGCAATGACTAACGGTGTGTCGCGGACGTGATGCATCATCTGCCTCCTCGCGTGTGAATGATGGGGAGCCCTTGTCGCGCGCTCCGGCTCGTCCCGTGTAGGGGCGGCCGTGCCCGCCGTGCCCCGAGCACCCCTCCGCCCTGCCGTGCCCTGCCCGGCCCGCACCGTGGCCTTTGCGCCCGACCGTCGCCTCCCGCCCGGGATTTACATGTATATTCTCTCATTTATGGCGCACTGCTTTCCCACCGCGGCCCGGCCGGCAGAGGCCCTGCGGCCGCCCCGCAGCTGCCCCGCACAGGTGCCCTGCAGCTCGGCGGCGCCGGCCCGCGAGATACGCGGCTGTGGGGGCTGCCGTCGCTGCAGCCGCCGCAGCTGCCGCAGCTGGCGGAATGTGGGTCGGCAGAGGAGCAGTGCCATGTTGTTGTTGTATACAGTCACCTAACGTCCACCCGCGTGCCACCCGGCTGCCGCTGCCGCCGCCGCCGCTGCCGCAGCTGCAGGTGCGGCGGCGGGAGCGAGTGCTGCTGCTGGAGTGCTGGGGCGGCGCGACGCGCTCTAGTGAGGCAACGTGAAGACGAACGGCTGGCGACCGGCGAGGCGGTCCGTGCCGGGAGCAGCGTAGGGACGAGAGGGCGCAGGGCGCGGGGCACGGCGCGGCAGTATGATTGGCTGCCCCCGCTGGTCCAGGACAGCAGGACACACGACGAACGGCCGAGGGGTCTGCGTACGTCGCGTCACCGCACACTGACCCTCGCCAAATCTGTTTGCAAACCAGTCTGTGTGCTCTTCGACCATGGGCGGTCCAGGAGGACGGCCGAGAGCCCGCGGGTGAGGGAGAGGAGACACTCTCGCCCGCCGTCCCCAGGACCAGAGGAGGACGAAAGAACGTCATCCTGGTCCTGGAGTGGCGTCTGTGGCGATGGCGACCGTGCGTGCGAGCGCGGCCGCCTCCCCCCGTAACCGCCCCCGCCGCCCTCCTCTGCCTTGCCGTTAAGGGTGTTATCCAGTCTGCTTGCCGCTGCTGCGGCTGCTTGACATTTTGCACAGACGTTTCTATAACGCGTTGCACGGTTTGGGCAGATGAGTGCGCTCTGCCCTGCTGCTCGACCCGCGGCCCCGGGGCTCGTGCTCGGTGCTCGTCCTGGCCGTGCTCCGCAACCCGCCGACAATACGCGCCGGTGGTGCAAAGGCTGCTGCAAAGGCTCGTGGAGTGGCGGCGATGCTCGGGGGCTCCCAATAGACGCCCCTCCACTGGGCCCCGGGGCCGCCGGGCCCGGCCGGCCGGCTGGTTCAATAACAAAGACAGACAAGGCGAGCGCACCGCGACGCTCTTAAGTGGGCTCTGGTTTATAGCCCCCCGCGCCTCGTCCCCTCGCCCCGCCCGCAGGAGGAGTGTCTGAACTCGCGCCTAAACGACCGCATACATTTCGAAGCCAGAAGGGCTGCGCGCCCCGCATACCGCGGGTTCGAACACCGGCCGGGCCGCTCCGCAGCGGCGCCGCTCGCGGCAGATGGCCTTTTCTTTCTCTCGGTGGTGGGCCGGCCCAAGGCTAGAGAGGCGGCGCATGGCGCGCAGGCCCGGCCAGGACGATCGACAAAGTCACAAAGGGACATCATCGCTGCGGCTGCAGCACGTTATGGTCACTTTGGCAAAGAGCGTCACGCTTATTGTTTAGGTGTTTGTTTTTTTCCGATTCGTTTTATCGCACAGTTTGTCTTTGTGTGCAGCAGCAGCGGCTGCACATCTCTCTCTGGACGTTGACAATGTGCGCTTTCCTGGTTTTGAGGGAGGGGGGGGGAGAGGGGAGGAGGCGTTGCATCCTGTCTACCTCCCGTTTGAGCGCAGGGGGGCGGCGCGCGTGCGACTTGACGCGATGACGCCTCAAACGGCTCGCCGTTCTTCGTTTGTTGTTCGCGCTCCCGGCACACATGTGGGCGGGCCGGGGGCGGGCGATATGGCGGATAATGCGCCGTTTCTGTCTGTGTCTCCGCGGCCGCCGGGCGCAGCGCGGAGTGACTCACTCGCACTGGGGGAGGGAGAGAAGGGGAGGGGGGCTGGCACTTCCTCTCCCTCGAGCGCATCCTGGAGCAGCCCGTGGCGGCGGCGGCAGCGGCCGCTCTGACGTGTTTCACCTGCGACCCCGCGTCCGCGTGTGCTTGATCCTCGCGCCGCGAGTGCTCCCCACGCCGTGGTCGCGCTCTGGACTGCGGCCGTGACCTGGCCGTCACGTTCATCAACATCCTCTGACCGCCACTTCCAATACCACTGCCAGCGCGCCAACATGTGGCTGGCCAAACCGCCTCAGATGGCAGGTTTTTGCGTGCGTGGGGGAAACGTGTACGCGAGTTTGCTTTGGATTTATTCAAACGGCAGCTCTCAACTAGGAAAGTGACTGAGTAAGTATGTTTAGCAGGCAGACTCTGCTTTTACTGTGCACCCTCCCTGCCTGCCAACCGCCTGATCGCCACCTGACCACCACCGCCTCCTGACCGCCGCCGCCGCCGCCGCTCGGCCGCGCTGGCGCTGCACCGGCGCTGCACTGGATGCACAATGCCCTTCCCTTATCGCCCTCACGCCCATTGTGTGAGCTCGGAGGCAGCCTTGGGCATCCCCCTAAGAGTGCA